TTAAAGAGAAAAACTAATAGGAAAATAAAATAATACCACGTGAAAAAAAGTTACAACCTTCAAAAGCGCGCGGTAATATATGTCTCAAGTTGCCACATCAGCTTTATCATATAATCGATTTCCATAGGAATGTCGGTCCGATCAACTTACTAGACAAGGATATGTCAGTTCGGTTTTCATAGCCTAAAGAAGGGTTACTAGCTTGTTCAATGTTTGACTTTTAATCTGTGACAACCAACACCCAGTTAGTATTGAAAGGTACTCTATGGATTTCGTACACTTTACTAGTTCGCTATCTTATCTCGTAGCATCCACCTCACACAAATTATTGATCATGACATATTAAACGTGTCTTCTCTGTGAGTATCAGAACTTTTACGAGAATAGAGAGTAAGAAAATGAAAGAACTTGCGTCTGTGCCGACACACTCTTTATAGCCGTGGCGTAAACGTGCATGTGCAGAAAGTGTCCCCTGACCAAGGAAATTAGAACATAAGATTACGAAGCAAACAATACAAATACTAAGAGTCCTAGGGTGTAACAGACATTTTGGTGTCAGCAAAATGATCGGAGCCCAACATATCAGTTATTTGATTAGCTTGATTTTAATATTCATGATATAGTATGACTATATTCCCTAAAGTCACCTAGGAACCCGGTTGGTTTGCACTTTATACGGATGCCTTTTCTATAAGACGTGAGTATCGCTAATAATCGACCAAAGTAATAAGAAATTGCAGGTGGTTCCACTACGGGCCAATGTTGTCTACTGGTCAAGTGCGTAACCCAGCACTCAAAAGGACGATGGCCTGCGTGCGAGTGCAGTGTTCACAAAATTCACATTCATACGATGTTTTCCGACTGTAATTTACACAGATATGAGAAAAAAATAAAAGAATGAGTTAATGCACCAAAATATCCTAACGAGCAACACTAACGCATGGTGTTGGTTGGTGGTCAGCCGCTTAAATTATGCATAGCACAAGCGTTTTCTGCTCATATTAATAACAATCATACAGAAAAGCCACATGTACGGTAGGTTATATAGATGGAAGAAGATTTTTTCATATGACATAAGTGGTAATGTTGGACCAGTGAGATGTCACTGGATCGTAGCCAAATCATCTGGCAGTCGGACCAGTGAATGTCGAACAGTTCAATGATTCTCGTCAAGGTCAAGAACAACCAACGCACACCAGTTAATTGCACGCCATAAACTGGCCCATGAAATGGTAGTAGCATTCTCTTCCTCGTACCTACTAATATATTTTTGTAATAAGTTCATTTGTGTTGTAAGGTCATTAAAGCAGCCGTATTACTTGAATAAACGTAAGAGTAATCCACGTTAGATACCATCCACGAGATGTGGCTTCGACGCTAGTTGACCTACAACCATTAGACAAAGATCATCTACGTTTGTGATCTTAAGTAATGTCCGGGAATTCGTATGGGGAACTGATAATAATCTGTTCAACAGAAGTGTAGTCATCAGAGTCCTTCTATAAACTCATTTTTCTGACTACCTAGTAGATCAGTTATCCATGTTAGTGCCCATAGACGGATAGTTAAAAGTAGTTATGCATATAGGCTTGTTGTGAGCATTATGTTAAACAGAAGTTTTGAATCAATCCGTTTCAAGTTAAGCATTTTAAATCAATACACCTCATGTAGCACCATTAGATATGATGTATTGTACAATGTCTTCAGTTAGTTGACTTTTCAGGAGTCGTTAAATTGTGTGCCATCTACGGGATTATCGGGGCGAGTATAGGTTTTGGCCATGGGAGTATAACACCTTAACCGTTTCTATGACAATGGTATGAAATTGCAGTCAGTGTTCGTATAAGTATAACAATGAGGATTTGAACAAATGGCTGTCGTCAAACCTTTGATCAAACTGACAGTTTCATAGTACTCACTAAAGAACCAAGTGACGAAACGGCCGTCCAGTGCTTCCAGGTTCCCAAAATTGGTGGTCTAACATCAATCGGTTCATGATCTCAGTCAAAAACGTAATAATCTCCACAACCCCATTACTGAAAATCATAAGTGTTAGATAAATATAACTACGGACAAACTACACTGATTTGGTTCTTAGTTTCATCGCCTAGATAAACCCCATTACGTGACTGTCAAATTGTAACAAAGCTTTATGGCAATTTCGAGAAACCATTATAAACAGCTCCTTATGGTTTCGATATATCACTAGCTATGGAGAAAATTTGAAGTGCTGCTTTAGATGCCGAACAATTTAGATGGTTCAGAATACGTTAGTTTTTACTGACTAGGAAGTGTCTGAATGCATTACAAATCATGTTGCAGAAATATTCGCCAAATTAGTGCACAACCTTTTAAGGCATGTTAAAATGAACATGAATACCATTATCAAGTGTTGAACAATTATTTGATCCGAAATGCTTCCTCTAACAACTATCATTTTATAATAACATGTCACATGAAAACGTTGAATGTGTCGTATACCGAAAACTAGTTTGTGTGTGGTTTTGATGATAATATGTGTATGACTAGTCTAAATGAGTATAAGATGCTGCACGTTATAAAGTACTGTAGCCATAATACATGATCTAGTGGAGTAGTGAAACTCGCCTGGATTTTCTTCAAAACTCGTCGACATTGTGACAGTTCATTGTTTCGGTTTAAAATATTCACAGTGATTATGTTCAACGCTTCCATTTAACTTCCTCATTGTCTTCTAATAGCGGAAAAATCAAGAAAATGACTAATTCCACAGGCGTAGTCTGCTCAAAAGACTCACATCAGTCAAAGACTCTTCGTTATTTTTTGACTTACCTCTGATGATATACTGTTTTCGATTTATATTTCTCGGTGGATTGTTTGGGGATAAATGTCCTATGTACTTAATATAAAGATGAATATAAAGCTTATATATCAAAAGTAAACGATATGAAGATGGGTAGGTAAGATTTTCTTTAAGACGTTGCTATTTTGAAGCTATACTCAAAAACAAGACGTTCCTCCTTTGTTTTTACCGTTTTTCAATATATACACAAGATTTATTTGACCAAAATGTTGGTAGATACATGGATAAATATCACAATTGAACCAAAACTGTAGATATTCCTGTCCGTTGTAACTTGTCAGTCCCGTAGTTGTTTTGTCAGGTAAATGGTCAATAACACGTACGGTGGTTCATTATCTAGATAAGCCGGTTTTGACCTATCAATACTAACTGAGTCAGTGTTTCCCTGTTTTTGTGCCACGAAATACCTGGGTTTTCTCGAGATAAATTTTTATGGACCTTCAAATGAAGGACTAAGTGGTGCTTTTACTTTGTTACACGTTATCCAGACGTGCGTGCGATTGTTAAGACAGTTGTGTACAGAATTCGCTCCCCATTGTTTTCGAATATTAATTGGCTTAACTTTAGATATTTGGTTTCGCAGTCGGTCCGCGTAACTTTCTAATTCAAACCCTTTACTTTGAGCACAAGAATTGAAAACTCTCACCAGTTGTCCCGAAGACTAGTTCTGTAAATGAACACTGTGCGTCAGTTTGAACAGCTGTTTTCATTCCCAGCGTAACTATTGGCAGGAATTTCGTTCACTGACTAGGGTTTGGGTGTGATATAAGGGCAGCCTCTAGCTTGAAGACAAAAAGTATATTTGGTGATGGTACAAACAAATATTTAATCCACAGCGTGACACAAGACTCTACGTTTTCTAGATGTTTCTGAGAAGCCTTCGTTGAATCCTTATTGGACGGAACTCTAGATACTGATGAAGGACATTTTAGAATTTTTAAAAGTTACGAAAGAGATTAAAAGTTATGATAAAACGAAAGAGTAAAAGTAACAGGACAGTGAACTTTCAAGTCAGACTTATCAATTTAAATGTTGATCTGCTGGGTTCAAACAGAGATGTTGCGATTGCTTTACCTTACATTAAAGTTACACTACTGACGACTTGTACACCTTGATTAACATATCACACGGCGAAAACACTGTTCTCATAGATAAACTTCGCCACAAATTTATCTAATTATTTAAGATCCAATGTAAGTATTATCATCCTTAGTTTCGCGTTATAATACATGTGGCCATACTTTAAAATAGACGGGTCACGTATCGCTTGATGATTTGCACCACGTTAAAGCTATATTGAGATGTTTTTAATGCTCTACGCTTCAATTCCAACTAGATTTTGATCTATAATGGGTAATAATGCATATATGTGGATTTTTAAAAAATTAACGGAGCACAATATACGGATAGCGACGTACAGAATCAACAGGGTTGTTGTGATAAAAAGTAAAGTCAGCATGATTAGTAAATTATAGTTACAAAACTTAATCTGAAATTATATACAAATAACCTATGATCTCGATGAAGTGTTTCATCATTCAAATAAGTTGCAGTAAACAGTGTACAGTTAATTAGACCAAGCGAATTTACTAAACATACTGAGACTTGAGATTTCGTTTGACCACCAGCTACGTAAAAATGAAATGGAAATCAAACGGTACGACACGTGATGTTTTCTAGAATCCTTCATAAGCACCACCAAGTTTGTTCTATGTGTTGACTCAGTGAGCACTTATTTCCTTATTACCAAACGAAAAGCTTCAAATATCGTTAAATTTTTCTAAGGACTAATCGTCCTAATTTTCCCGGTTAATTACACGGCTTTTAGTGGTGATGAACCAGTGTTATCCCGTTGTCACTACGGTTTTAACCACTTGAGTCAACGCCGAGTCAGAATGAAGAGACATTTCAAGCGCAAATAATCCTAGCAAAACCTATCTTCTCGTCGACTTCTCAAAAGCAAATAAACACATAGTTAGCTTGCATCCACAAATTATTGATCTTTACTGAGTGAAAACACGATTCAACATAGATTATGGATACAAGAGAATCTTGCAAAAAAATCTGTGACTTCAAAAATATTGCATAATTTACCAAAAGGGATGTGAGGGTTTGTATAATGAATCATTATGATGAACAATGTTGATTTGTTTTACTTCCTAGATTGCGGTCTTGTTTGATTACGCGGGTAACGCATTGGGACTAGAGCGTGACTAAAGGTTGGTGGTTCGAATTTTATGATTACGAACTCTTTATATCCAGGAGTAATGGGTGCTTATAAGTTTATGCAGGAGCTTTACCGCCGGAAACAGTCTGATGTTATGCGTTATATACAACGTATGAGATGCTGGGAATATCGGCAATCTCATGCAATCGTTCGCGTAACTCGACCATCCCGTCCTGACAGGGCTAGAAGATTGGGTTATAAGGCCAAACAGGGCTATGCCATCTACCGTATTCGAATTCGACGAGGTGGTAGAAAACGTCAAGTTCCAAAGGGTGCAACGTATGGTAAACCTGCTGGTGAAGGTGTTAACCAATTGAAAAACCAGCGATCAATACAAGCAGTTGCAGAGGTAACTTAGTTATTCGATCTGACTGTTCTTCAGGAGCGAGTAGGTCGGAAGTGTGGTGCTCTTCGCATTCTAAACTCCTACTGGGTTGGAGAGGATAGCACGTTTAAATTCTATGAAGTTATTTGCATAGATCCTTTTCATAAAGCAATCAGGCGTGACCCTCAAATTCGTTGGATATGCAAAGCGCACCAGAAACACAGGGAAATGCGAGGTCTTACGTCCGCTGGTTACAAGTCAAGAGGTCTCGGCAAAGGACACAAGTACCATAAGACAATTGGTGGCTCTAGACGTGCAGCTTGGAAACGTCTCAATACTGTAGAGATGCGACGAAAACGCTAATTTTTTAATTACATGCCTTGGGTACGCAGTTTATTCTTTTTCTATTGCATGACTCCTATTAACGGTGTATTCTTGAAGTTCAACACGCTAACCTGGTTGGAAAGCTCCCTTTTTTGCTTGTGTAAGTTATTTGACTACATTGTTAGGGAAGTGAGATGCGGGTTTCACTCTCCCCCAAGGCAATTCTAAAAGAAACCTCTTGTTTATCATCCTGATCCATACAAATTACTCAAAACATATGAATCTTGCTATTTTAAATTACTTAGCTTTTCTGACAGCTCGTGTTGCACATTGCATCAAGATAATAATACACGCAGAAAATCTTTAGCAATTTTACATCAGGAACTAGTCGCAGTCATCCCCGTTATTTCGACGAGTTTATGTTTCCTTTCGGATTTCATTTTCCTGTTTTATTGACAGGTTAGAGGGTACGCTTTGCTCTGTCTAGGTATTTATTGCGGACATTTGCTCATATATATCTTGGGCTACTAAGCTGATGATAAACGATAGTTCAGAGGTTGGTTTGTAGGCGTGTACGATTGAATAGTCACCTGTGGTTCAGATGCCGCGCGTGTATTAGGCGACAATTCATTAGACTTATCGAAACCAAGTCACTAGTGGAAGTGACCATGGGACGTGTCAGTGGTGTTCTACTGGCATATAATTTACCTTACTAAAAAGGTACTGGCAATTAGTGTATTTAATTCTACCTCTTTTCGAGTCGGCGTAGGTATGTGTAATGTACCGAGCTTCCAAATACCTATATTATCAAGCTACTTATTAAAAAGCAGGCCAAGTCTACTCAGGAAAGATATGATTTTAGCTCGGTAAAGCTTTTTTAGGTTCCCTTCAGCTGTATGCACAGTTTTCCTGCTGAGAACCATACTTTACCTTCTTAGTCATCTCAAAATGCAGTACGCAGCTCTTGTCCACAGTAGTACTTATTCACCGATGGGTATGATGGTTACGGCGTCCGTGTGCTTTGAAAAAGCTACTTCTTGTCTAAGCTTGTTCATTATTAGGGTGTGTGTGGTAATTTATTTTTTGAATAACTGCAACCGTAAACAAAGATTTAGTGATTAATAAGGGGGAAGCTCGAGTAGTTCATCTCATTCCCTATCGATCCTTAAACCCAAATAGCCTCATTTACTGAATGATAATGGTAGAGGGTCCGCAAAACATTTGTTTTTATTGATGACAATTAACATTGCTTAGAGCTTATCATTCATCCTATCTGGCGTAACACTCAAATGATAATCAGTGTTTCTGCAGTCACATCCTTATCATTATCAGATAATAGATGTCTCTATCAATTTGTGAACTAGTGTATTGCTCGGCAGTTCGTCCCGTCCTACTTTAAGGCTGCGAAACGTGGTCACTAAGAGTACGAGAAACTCGTAAGCTACTAGTATTTGATTAATGGCGTCTTAGAAATGCTACTCCTATCTCATGGGATCACCGGGTAAGTAACAGTGAGGTTAGACCCAGAGTATTAAGGAATGATGATAAATCAGTTGATGAGGTTCTAAATCTTCATGGATTGAGATGGTTGGGCCACATATTACGGACGCCCAACGACCGATTATCACGAATTGCGAAGCTGATTCTTGTTAAAGACTTGGAATAAAGGGGTGGTCAGTCCATGAAGTCACTAACTTCTAATCTGAGCCATCTCGGTAGATGCAGACTACTTGGTTGGGGTTCGTGTGAGTATCTTAACCAATAGTTGGAGACTGAGTAAGTCAGTCAGTCAGCTACAACGTAGGACCAGGCACATATGTGCATCGGTCCAGGTTGCCATACCTCATTAGCACAACAAGACGAACACCGGATTCATAGGAGTGGTTAGGTCAAAGGTTGCAATAAGGATATAGTATAGGAAGGAAGAATTAGTTCGTAGAAAGAAAGATATGAAGCGATTTTAATCTCTTAGTTTAAGGGAAGACAGGGAGTGTATACACCGACGCCATTGTGATCGATTCTGAGCCATGTCACCAAGAGTCTCCAACCATTGGTTACGAAAGTCACGCGGACCCCAACCAAGTAGTCTGCATCTACCAACATGGCTAAGACTAGAAGTTAGTGACTTCAAGCACTGATGCCACGTTTTGGTTTGGCCGCCCCTAACTTTCTTCCAACCATCCCCTACACCGGTTAGCATTGCACGTCGTGGTAATCGGTGTTCAGGCATACGTAATACGTGGCCCAACCATCTCAGTCGATGAAGATTCATAACCTCATCAACTGATTTACCATCACTCCCTAATACCCTACGTCTAACCTCACTATTACTTACCCGGTGATCCCAGCAGATACCAGCAATATTTCTAAGGCATCTGTGGTCAAATACTTGTAGTTTACGGGTGTCTTCTACTCTTAAAGGCCATGTTTCGCTGCCGTAAAGTAAGACAGAACGGACTGCCGCGCAGTATACTCGTCCTTTTATTGATAGACGGATATCTCGCCTCCGCCAAAGGTGACGTAAGTTGGCAAAAGCCAAACGAGCTTTTCGAATCCGTGCTGAGATTTCGTCAGACGCCAACCCATTAGGGCTGATCAGACTTCCAAGATAAGTGAAGTTGTCGACGCGTTCGACTACTTCACTCCCTATCCTTAGTTCAAATGTTAACGCAGACCAGTCCTGAAGCAACAACTTGCATTTAGAGGGAGAGAAGCGCATCCCAAACATTCTGGCATTGTTGCTTAGTGCTACCAGAAGACTCTGCATTTTGTCAGCGTCTTCACCAAACAGGACTATATCATCTGCGTATTCTAAGTCGATAAGTGGACCTCCTGGAAGGAGATCAATACCCGAGAATTCAGTCGACGAGAGTGTTATTTCCATCAATAGGTCTATGATGAAGTTAAACAAAAATGGAGAAAGTGGACAGCCTTGACGGACACCACTTGAAGTTGCAAAAGTAGATGACAGTTCGCCATAAGCTCTGACTCGACTAGTAGTGTTCGAGTAAAGAGCCTTCACAAGGTTTATGTACTTCTGAGGTACGCCTTTCAATGACAGACACTGCCACAGAGTCTCGCGGTCTACAGAGTCAAACGCTGCTTTTAAGTCAAGAAAGACCACCATTGTCGGACGCCGATAAGTATGCCTGTGTTCTAGAATCTGACGAATGGTGAATATATGGTCGATGCAACCACGACCAGGTCTAAAGCCAGCTTGGTTCTCTCGAGTTTGTAGTTCACGAGTCTTAGTTAGACGTCTGATAATTATCGAGGCTAGTATTTTAGATACTATGTTTGTTAAACTAATCCCTCTGTGGTTGTCACAGGATGATTTTGACCCTTTCTTATATATTGGGACGATAAGTGATTGCGACCAGTCAGATGGGATAAAGTCTAATTCCCAGATCTTAGCTAAAATATTAGTCAACCTAATCGCTAAAATTGGACCACCATCCTTAAAGACCTCTGGAGCCAATCCATCTGGACCAGCTGCCCTTCCTCGTTTCAGATTAACTATAGCCTTTTGAACTTCAGCAAGAGTTGGAGGACCTACTTCAATGTTCCATTCACATTGTCTGGAAATGGAGGGTAGTTGTAGAGTAGCTGAAGGCCAAGACTGGGTAAGAATCGACCACGATGACGTTGGTATTTACTCTCCTTGAATCGTGAGGTTAAAATCACGTCATACCTCCGCTTCTGTATTATATTCGTGTACTATATTTTATATATTACTACTACTGAATTAACTACTTCCGTAAATTTGGTGTTGATCTTGTCCTAATGAAGTGTGGCAACTTTGACTGATGTTCATATATGCCTGGTTCTACGTTGTAGCTGACTGATAGTGGTTAGCGTATAATAAAAAAGTAATAATTAGTTAGCAAGGCCTAGATCTTGTCTCTTGTTAAAAGGTACGGAGGGCACGAAGTATCAAATAATCCATATATGTATGAATACTGGGTTCGCTCTACGCTGTTCAATTGGGTGGCATCGTATTAGCAATAAGGAAATAGGTTCGTAGCAAAACATCATCTCTTTGTCAGTGTTTTCTAATGTAGTCGTTATCGTCATGAGCTCTTATCGGTCCCTGGGACTATCAGTTCCCCACTTCAGTATACGTACATACCTAAAATTGCGGTTGTAAAATGTGCCTGCGTACCCTGAAGTCATGTATGATTCGGTATACAAGCATCCACAACAATGATCTGAAGCACTAAAGGTATGTACAAAGTTATTTACAAACATGGAAGTGTATGAAGCTACCTGAAATGGCCAGTGTAGTAATTTCAAGAGCAAATACTATTTCGTGAGCAGTTGGTTTCCGGTCTCAAGGGTTTACTGCATACAGAAATAAACTGGGAACAAACGACAAGACGGTACTGCATATAGTCAAACAACAAACTGGAGTATAAGGTGTTCATACTTAGAAAGTAAATTAGCATACATATGTTTACAACACATTGAAGAGGAAAGCATACTCGCTATGTACCAGGTATATCGATGGTTTGTCACTTAGCACCTGCTAAGCACAAAGCGTCCTTTCACATGTTATTGACAGTGGAAACAGTGTTTAGATCATCTACAGAGTCCAGTTAAGGAAATTACAGATGTCAGCAGTTAGACCTGAAAATTGCCTTAGAATATCCAACAGTAAATCCTCAATGTTTCTGACATCCTTCTCAAATGTTCTTCAAAAGCGACACGACTATATTGATGATGAACAGCTAAAAAGTACATCGGCAGAAGTTCCCGAATTTATGGCTGCACAAAGTGAATTTTCTAGTCTTTAACGCTGAATTTTTTCAGCAGATATGTCGGGATCTCCAAACATTCATTTATTTTCAAAATTAACTTTAGTTTTTTGTGTTTCGAGGTCTAGAGCAATGTATTTCAAACAGTGAATCCCCAAGACCATCCTTGTAATGAATCGTTAAGTTGATAAAAAAACTCTTCAAACCCATAACGTTTAATGCTAACTCACAGACTGAAGTGTCAAAGAACAGAGCACATAGGCACAATCTCTCATCACTGCCGCTAAACAAACAGTTCCCCTGTTCTGTTATTTTTACCCTCAATATTGAAAAGCAGCCTTTTTGCGCTAATTGCTTTGGAATGAAAACCAAAATAATTTAGTAGATTTTTCTCGGTAAAGTGAACATAATTGTCAGTAACGGTTGAGATAATAAAAAAGCAACCATACATTTTGTTCAAATTGCACTGTAGTGATTAAAAAATACCAGTGAATTTGTAAACACAAACGAACGATTAGTAAGATAAAACTAGTGAACTGAAGGACTCACAACTATGGGTGTTTTTACACAAATACCGATAATGATTAGAAGTATTCAAAATGAATCGCCGAAGTGGTTCAATTTAGGATAAGTAGAGCTAGATGAGC